ATGGATGGATGATGAAGGGATGATTAATGAATGTATGATGGATGGATGGATAGATGAAATGGATGGATGGATGGATGATGAAGGGATGATGAATGAATGTATGATGGATGGATGGATCATGGATGGATGGATGGATATAGATGAAATTGATGGATGGATGGATGGATGATGGATGGACGATGAATGAATGGATGATGGATGGATGGATGAATGGATAATGACGGGATGATGAATGAATGTATGATGGATGGATGGATGGATGGATAGATGGAATGGATGATAGATGGATGGAGGATGGATGGATGGAACTTCCTCCTAACTTTAGTTTGGACTGGTTGTGAACCTCGTCGGTCAGGCACCTGGTTGGGTGAATCAGTTTCAGGTGGAGTTCTTTGGTTAGAATCTTGATTTCTTGTCAGTCAGTGAGGTGCAGCAGCTCACTGTGTCTAAAACAGTCTCCACAGATTTATTGTACATTTATCAAAGATTTAAGTCTGCACCACTGTTTTAAAGTTATTTTTATATTGCTATCAAAAAGCCAGACTTCTTTGAAAATAGTGCAAATGTATAAACACTGAAGCACCTGTAGTACTTGTAGTCATTGTTTTTTGTTTGTTAATTTTTGATTATAGAAACCTAACCGCTATACCAGACTGAAAGCAAGCTATACTAGCTGCTAGCAAACTTCTATACTTTAACATGTTTAGCTTGTTGCTATTTTCCATCCATCCGTGTGCTGAGTCCTGACTGAAGGTTGCTGATGCAGCTGCTGCACAAAAAAATAAGAAGAAACATGAACTTCCTTTTTATATTTGGAACTTAACTTTTGTTCTGTTTTATGACAGAGCGGGACTCTTATTTTGTAACATACTTATCAAACTTTATTTTGAAACTCACAAGTCCCTATATGACCTTTCTATTTTTGTCAACTGAGTCACTGGTTGTCATGGTAATTACTGCCTTTTCTGAGGAAAGCTGATGGGGAGCACACAGCAGAACTCTTCATCAGACAGGCAGACATAAACACAAAATGGAAATTAAGCCCAAAAAATAGTTGCTTTGCAAAAACCAAAAGTTGCATCAAATAATTTCTTGAAACGTTTGTCTCTGCTGTGCATTATGGTGAAGCAGAAGAAGATGAAAAAAAGCTCCACTTCGGCTTTTGAAGAGAAAAATCTGAGCTCAAACATAATGGGAGTAAGATTCTGGGTGGGTGCACTCTGGGACTATTCCTCAGAAATCTGAGAGACACACTGGGTGAAGAACAAAATGTCTGTTTTGATGCATAACCTGTGCACAAACGTGCACAGTTTGTGAGGGCCTAAAAAGTTTTTATAAGATATTAGGATGCCATGCTTTTGAAAAGTTTAGACAACTTGAAATTTAGAGTGAAAGAAATAATCAAACCATCCATCCATCTATCCATCCATCAATCCATCCATCCATCCATCCATCCATCCATCCATCCATCCATCCATCCATCCATCCATCCATCCATCCATCCATCCATCCATCCATCCATCCA